TGCCCCATCCCTGGAAGTGTCCAAGGCCAGCTTGGAGCAACCTGGGATAGGGGAAGGTGTCCCTGCTCATGGCAGGGGTGGGGCTGGACGAGCTTTAAGATCCCTTCCCACCCAAACCATTGTGGGATTCTCAAGGACCACCCACATTCCCACATCCCTGTCAGCTGCCAGGACACCCCACCCACCCCAAACCAGTGTTGCCCACGAGCAGCTCGGCCCTGAGGTACCTTGGGCAGGCAGCTGGGGGGTCTGGGAGCCATACAGGGACAGGATGGAGTCCTTGGAGAGCTGCTTCTTCCCCACTTCCTCCCCTTTGCCTCCGGGCTCAGGGAAGAGGTTCAGGTTTTCGGGAACAGAACCGGCGCTCCCAGAGGTTGGCATCGAGCCAAGGACCTGAGACAGGGACAAGGATTAGGGCAGCACGTGCCCCCAGCCCCAGGGAGGGCACCAGGGATCGGCCCCTCAGCCCTGCTCTGTGCAGGGACACGTGGCAGGACAAGGGCTCACGTCAAAGAGGGCTAATTCAGCTGAAGGAGGGTATTTTAGGAATGAATTCCCACCCCTGGAAGCGCTCAAGGCCAGGTCGAACAGGGTTTGGATCCACCTGGTCTAGTGGAAGGTGTCCCTGCTCACTGCAAGGATGAGATGACCTTTAGGGGCCCTTCCCCCCCAAATTATCCCGTGGTTCCACGACCCAACCAGGCCTTGCTGAGCACCAGCATTCCCTGCTCACCCTCCTGGAGTCTGAGCTTGATCCCACTGATGCAAAGAGGTCCAGGTCCTTCTCCAGGCTGCTGGGCCTGCCGTTGGTGACGGGGGTTGTCACGGGAGCATCTGGGAGAGACAGAGCTGTGCTGGCTGTCCCCACACAGGGGGACACCTCCTTCCCCTCCCTGCCAAGGTGCCACCCCACCCCACTGCCAGCACCTCCCTCATCCTTCTGGGCCACGGGAGGAGCTGGAGCAGGACTCAGGAAGCATCCTGTGTGAGCTGTTAACCCCAGAGCTGCAGTGTGTGCTGACCACAGAGCTGCTCCTGCAACACTCCAGGCACAAAACTGCTCCAGCATAAAGGAAAACACCAGGAAAAATGCTCCTGCTGCAGCACTGAGGGCTGTGCTTGAGCTGCACTGGAACAGTTCAAGCAGAACACTCCAGTCTTCCTATTGTTCACCTGACAGGGAAAATCACCACTAAAAGCTCATCAAATTCACCAGATGGGTTTATAAGGTCACTCAAACCAGGGCAAAAGGGCTGGAAAGGCTCTTACCAAGTCCCAGCAAGTCCATTACTGGCTCAGATTTAGGAGAACTTTTTCTAGACTGCTGCATTTCTTCTTTCTTTTGAGGCTGGAGGGAGGGAAAGAACACCACAAGTCTTGCTCAGATTTGGGGTTTACTCTGGTGTGTCTGAGGTTTTAATGAGATTAACCCTTAAAATCCTTTCTGGATGTAAGTGAAAGAAGTGGAAAATGAAAGTGGAATTCCCTTTGCTCTGCCAAAAAGAGAATTTCAGAGCGAATGTTACTGAGCTGTTCTATTGCCCCAACAGGTTGGAGCCCACTGTCAAATCCAAGCAGGCTCTTAAACTAGGGAAAAGGAGCTGCTCAGGCTGGAAAACTGAGCAGGGAATAGCTGGATTCCAATCTGCTCTGCAGTGCAAGGCAGAGAGCATCTGCTTAATATCTGGGTGAGCAGAGGAAAACAAGCTCCCACCAGCAGAGTGACTCAAAGCACCCACTGCTATGACTGAGGGCAGAAAAAATGCTCCCAGAGCAGGCTGGAGGTGCCTCCACCACTGATCCACCACCATCCCCTCTGCTCTTACCATTTTCACCTTCTCAAAGATGATGGGTTCCAGTTTTCTTTCCGACAGGGGCTCGTTGCTCCTTTTCCATTTGTCATCCTTTTCTTTCTGTCAGGGAAAACACACTGAGGTGAGGGGGCAGAGCTCAGCATCACACCAGGAGCAAGGTCACACACGATGCTGTCACTGATCTGAAAACCCTCAGATGCAGCTAAAGGGCTGTATTTGAGCTCCAGATTTTTTTTACCTGTCCTGCTCTGAGCAAGGAACTGGATAAGATCCCTCAAAGATCTCCTCCAAATTAAATTCTCCCTTCCTGACTGGCTGCAACCAGCCCTGGAGGAGGGATTAGTCACTGATCCAGGAATTATTTAAACTGGTTTTTCATAAAAAAACTGACCATCACAACAAGGCAAAGTTCACACATGATGCTGGTACTGATCTGAAAACCCTCAGATTTTAGGCACAGATTTGTCCTCCTCTGAGCAAGAAACTGGATAAGACTCCTCAAAGATCCCCAATTTAAATTGTCTCTCCCTGACTGGCTGCAACCAGCCCTGGAGGAGGGATTAGTCACTGATCCAGGAATTATTTAAACTGGTTTTTCATAACTGACCATCACACCAGGACAAAGTTCATACATGATGCTGGTACTGAAATGAAAACCTGATCTGATTTGATCAGGTACCTAAAATCTGATCTGGTTTTAGGCACAGATTTATCTGTCCTGCTCTGAGCAAGGAACTGGACAAGACTCCTCAAAGATCCCCAATTTAAATTCTCTCTCCTTGACTGGCTGCAACCAGCCCTGGAGGAGGGATTAGTCACTGATCCAGGAATTATTTAAACTATATTTTCATAACAAAACTGACCATCACACCAAGGCAAAGTTCATACACGATGCTGGTACTGAAATGAAAACCCTCAGATTTTAGGCACAGATTAGTCCTGCTCTGAGCAAGGAACTGGACAAGACCCCTCAAAGATCTCCTCCAACTTAAATTCTCCCTCCCTGACTGGCTGCAACCAGCCCTGGGGGAGGGATTAGTCACTGATCCAGGAAACACTGGAGCTGTATTTTCACCCAGGCACTCCCAGGACAGACTCCCATCCACCCCTGCAGGCCCAGGAGTGCCCAGAGACTGACCCTGAATGCACTGATGTCGATGCTCCTGTCCATGTATTTCTTCTTCTCGTATTTATCCCGGATGAAACTCTCCACGGCTCTTCAGCAGCTCGTTAAGGACAAAGGAGTCCAAAATAGAAGCCTTACGTGGTATTATTTGACAAGTAGGTACAAGGTACAGGCTGTAACTAAACTAATGACTGTTTAAAGAGCATTTCCAGCAGTAACTTTCTTAAAATAATTTAGTGCTGGATCCAAACCCCCCCTTTAGCTGCTCGATTTTTTGCCCTTGGGTTATTCCAAGCATGACAGTGCTATAAAAGGTGCATTAAATCAGGGCTTAGATTCTCAGAGTGTTTTCTTCACTGTTTTAGGCTCACTCCTTGTCATCAGCACAGATTACAGTGGCCAGCACTGGATCCTGCACATAAAAAAGCACCTCAGGCACGAGCTTAAGACACAAAAAATGAGGGTGGAGAGGTGCTCCTGTGGGGTTTTTTTTTGGGTTCATGTCACTGTCCCCCTGTTCACTCAGCAACCAGAAACCCTCCTGGAAGGTAAAAGCTACAGCTCTTAAGTTTTCAGGAGCATTAAACCTTTTTATCATGGAATCATGGAATGGTTTGGGTTGGAAGGGACCTTAAGGATCACCTAATTCCACCCCCTGCCACGGGCAGGGACATCTTCCACTAGCCCAGGTTGCTCCAAGCTGGCCTTGGACACTTCCAGGGATGGGGCAGCCACAGCTTCTCTGGGAACTCCATTCCTCACAGGGAAGAACTTCTCCCTAATATCCCATCCAACCCTGCCCTCTGGCAGTGGGAAGCCATTCCCTGTGCCCTTGGAAACAGTCCCTCCCCACCTTTCCTGCAGCCCCCTCAGGCACTCAAGGCCACAATGAGGTCTCCAGTGAGCTTTGGAAACACTCAGCCCTTTGGAAAGGCCCACCCTCCCACTTCCCACAGCTCCCAGGTGTGGAACAGCTCCCTGGGGTGACATTGGTGTCCCAGTTCTCCTCCCCCAGAGCTCAGCACCAATCCTCAATCCTTCCCCCCCTCTCCTCAGGCTCGGGGGGAGCTCAGGGGAGTCAAAACTCCTGCTCAGCTCCTGCCAGGGGAGCAGCTCCAAAGCTGCAAAGGTGTGAGCAGGCTCCCTGTTTTCCCCTGGAGAAAGGATGCTGGTCTGTCTGAGGTCTCCTGAAGTTCTCGGGCAGGAAGGCTTCGTAGAGCCGGTTTGCTTTGCCATTTCCCATCTCCTGCACACACTGGAAAAAAAAAATCCAGAGAGCCCTTGAACTGGTGCATTCCCAGACATCAAAGCTCTCCCAAGGGCAGCCCTGAGGATTCCAGGCAGGGGTGGATTTCTGAGCCCTGTCTGGACCCAAAAATCACTCTTCACCTGCCAGGGGAATCCTGGTGCAGCTGCTACCCCCAATCCCTCCAGCATTCCCACTTTTCCTCCTGGATCCAGATTCTCCTCCTCCTCCAGCCCCTTTTCCCTCCATCCCCCCAGCATTCCCACTTTTCCAGGACCCAGATTCTCCTCCTCCTCCAGTCCCTTTTCCCCCAATCCCTCCAGAATTCCCACTTTTCCTCACCCAGCGCCTCCTGTACAATTACCCACTCCTAAGCACCACGGCCCAATATTTAGTCAGAGACAAGATAAATATCACATTAGCAGCCCCAAGTCCCTCTGGAAATCCAGGATTTGGCTCCTGGAAACCTCAGGGAGAGGAGGTGGGGGCAGCAGCTCCAGGCAGCAGCAGCCTTTGGCAGTTTAACAAACAGCACTTGCAGCTCATTTGTCTTTACCCTCTGAAATGATGACATTTTCCCATCCCAACATCATCTTCCCGCTGCTCTTCCCACATCTTTGGGCTACTCAGGCTCTGGCTACTCCCAAATTTATGGAGCCCCCCCCAACAAACCCTGTATTTATTCATTCCACCCTCATTACCTGGATCTGCTCCTGTGTCCACTGGTCGAGGTTGACAGATTTGACCCTGGATATGTGAACTCCCAGGTTCCTGTGGATCCCAGCACAGCGGATGCAGATGAACACCCCGATATTCCAGGAGGCCCATCGTGGCCCTGCAAAGAGACACGAGGCTCTCACCCCAACTCCACCCCTGTGGTTGCCTCGAGCAGCTCAGAAACTACCAAGTGAACTGGGACTGAGGTGTCTGCGTTCTCCTCCACGTCGGAAATCGGGATTAGGCAGCAGCAGGATGTTTAAATCATTATATTTGGGGGTTTTCTTGCCTCCCTCTTCCATCCACGCAAAACAAGCAGTTCTTAGAGGAAGAGGGAAGAAAACACCCACAACCCCCAGAGCTCTGCTTAGCCAGAAGTAGCAGCCATGTCAACTCAAGTTTGTGCTCCTGCTTTTTTTCCTTCTTTCTCAGGTAACCTCACTGCAGTGCAATCAGTTCCAGAACGTTCCCTGCTGCTGTAGGAACGGCAGCAAAAATTCCTCAGCGTGGGAATTGCACCACCAGCCTTAGGCAGGAAGGCCCAGCCGAGCCAGGAGAGCAGCACCGAGCCCAGGATTTGGCCCCCCAAAAAAACCGTGGAGCCCCAGGCTGCAATCCCAGCACACGAGACACTTGGTCAGTTCACTCCACAGTTTCCACAGCTCCCAGGTGGGAATTCCAAGTTCCACCCTGATCCCAGGTTGGCATGCAGCTGGGGCAGGCAGGAGAGCTCCAGGGTGTGTGGGGGGGGACATCATGCCAGGGATTAAAAAAAAAACACCACAAGGGAAAGATGATTAACGAGCTTAGATTTGCAACCCCCCTGCACCCAGGAAACCCAGCAGGGCATCACCCAGGGCTGGGCAGAGTCCACAGGTCCTCCCACCCCTCACAGCCCCTCTCCCAGCCCTCAGTCCTGCTTTAAAACTCATTTTAAAAAAAAAAAAAACCAAACAACTAACCCCCCTGGCTGGAGTTTGCAGCCAGCCCCAGCTGGGGTGCCCAGCCCTCACCACCTTGCACAGGGAAGGGGCCAAAGCCTGAATGAGGGACCTGAAAGCCTCCAGCCAACTGTGCCAGCCCCTTTTTCCAGGCACTGCTGCAGAGGAAGAGTTATCCTGCTAAAATAGCAAAGCCTAAAGCTAATGAGAGTGAGGTGGGAGGGGGAAGAGGGGGGGAAAGTGTAATTTCAGAGCCCTAAAAAAGCAGCGCTGTGTTTGAGGCTCTGGATATGCTGGGAACAGTTTCATTCCTATTTATGGGGGAAGTCTGGAGCATCCTGAGGGCTTTGGGGCTCTTAATGCAAACCCCTTCCAGGACAACCTCTAACTTACCTCCAGTACCTGTTCCAGGGAACTCATGATTTTAAAAAAAAAAGCTTTTATTAAGTCTTCTGGCCTTTCCTGCCATCACTGGCTGCTTTTTCCCTCAAGAGTGGCCCTCGAGAACGATATTAATTTAACGGAGCTGATGAATTCAGATCCCAGTTTAGGAACAGCTCTTGGTGAAGACCTGATTAAAAGCACACCCTTGTTCACTTATTATACCCACCAGAACCTGGGATTGACTCCATCACAGCAGAATCCATAAACTTAGCATGTTAAACAGTAAGGACCTGGAATAAAAGGCTCGCTCAGGGTCAGCCAGGATCCCTCCCTGGGCTCCCACAGGGAATTCTCTCCCAGCCACACCATAACGTGAGACTGCAGGCAGGATTAAGCCTGAGAGTCAAGGTTAGATTTAAACTCTGGATATATTTAGCCTTTACAGGACTAAAAGGATTAATAGGCAGATACTCCAGCGGGGCTGGAGTAATCAGCTCACTGTTGTCACATGGAGCCACCACAACCTGCCACCACCAACATGACTCAGGGGTGCAAGGGGCACTTCAGTGGCACCTCAGGGGCTGGAACAGCAAGGACTGAGTGCAGGACTAACAGCTGCACTGCTAAATCCCAGCTCTGGGTGACCCCAGGATGGAGAAGCCTCGTTATGCCAGGGAATATTTAAAAAAAAAAAATACACAGGCTTTCAAAAATCCTCCCAGCAGGTGGTTGGGCTGTGTAAATACATTATTGGGTTGTATAAATACATTATACAACAGGGGGGAGCTCCTCGCTGCTGATATTCTGGGTGTCCTTGCTGAGCCAGGAGGTGCTACAAGAAAGGCTTCAAATCTGTGGATCTGCCACTAAAATATCCCCCCGGCTCAGACTGGGCTGGGCAGGGCTCTGGGGAAATTTCCCCAGGGTTCCACATCTGGTTTCAAGGTGACAAACTCGAAAAAAAAATCCCCAGGTGGTATTTGCAGATGGGAGTTCCATCACGTGCTGCAGCATTTGACTCCCCAAAAAATGAAACTGTGCAGACAATCCAGTGACTGGGGGGGGGGGAAACACCCTGGTTGGAGCAGAGGGGAAAGTTTTTCAGAGAAAAATGGTTTTTTATCAGTAAATAAGGACAGAGCAGCGTTAATCAGCGTTGCTGGAGCTGCCCTGGGGCACTATCACCCCTTGCAGCCTTTGGGCACACCCTGACACTCACAGGGAATCATGGATTTATCTCCAGGAGGTTTGAAGACACCATAACAGAAACTTTCAGCTCGTTAAACCACTAGAAAGAACCATTAAAGAAGTTGTTCCTCCGGTGAATTAACTCTGGTTAATGTTATAAAAACAGTCCCCTCGAGGCTGAGCATCCTCAGAGCCACCAGAGCTGGAGGGATGACATGGAAACTCCCTTCCCACATGGAAAACTGGGAGTTTGCCCCAGTGACAACCAGTATCAGCCACTCCTGGTGCTGTGTTTCAGCATTAGGGCGGATTTTAACACCCATGGAAAAGGAAGGCTCTGGCACCAACCCAGCTGGGCAAAGCCTGTCCTGCTGTGCTGTCCCTGTGCCTCAGCTCACACCTGCACAAATCCCTCCTGGATCCAACAAACCCACACTTGTGAGCAAGAATCCAAGGAGAGTTCAGAGCCCAGCTATCCCTCAGCCCTGGCACCACACTTAGGTCAGATCAGACCACCCTGGGGACATTCCCAGCCTGGCAGTGCCTGCAGGAAGATCAGGAGCTCCAAAAGCATCCCCTGCTCAGCCAGCCCTGATTTCCCAAAGCTGCACTGAGCACTTGAATGGATTCCTGGGGGAGGATGCACCAGCCAGAGGCTCAGCTGCCCAGCCAGTGCTCCAGGAGACACTTCCACAGCCTGTTTTACATCCCAGCCTGTCGAAACAAACACCACATACCAAGCTGGTCACACCAGCTCCCATCTAAGCCACAAGTCATCAATGCTGCAAGGGCTGCTGAGTGCTCTGAATTACTGAAAAGGCTCCCAATCCCCTCCAAAACCCCAGCACAGCCTGAGGAGTCCACTTCAAGTGAGTCACTCGCTCTGAGTTCACCCCCCTGAGCGGTTTTAAACGAGAAATCCCCAGGGGATTCACTCCTCACCCTTTATTCAGGCCCCAGATTTTGGCTGAAGCTCCCCCTGCAACTTTCTGCAGCAATAACCCTCCAGAAGGCATTTAAAAACAAAACAGAAGTTGGCTGCAAAAGCCGCTGCTCTTTTGAGAAGGAGGGTCAGGAAAAAAAAAATAGCTGCTTTCATGGGCAGGGAGGAGAGAACATCACTGTTCAGAGCCTGAGGAAATATTCCCAGTGCAAACAATCCCTGCCTGGGAGCATCCAGGGGAACATTCCCATGGATCCCACTAACGTGGGTCGGGATACAGCATCATCCAGCCATCCCTGGAGCAGCCCCAGGGAGAGGAAGGAGCGGGATAATCCTTGGGAGGTGAGTGTTCCATCCTCCCTCACTCTGGGCCGTGGAGGTTCCTGATCCAGCCCAAGCTGGGAAGCCCCACTTCTTCCAAAGCCCAATGAGGAACCACCCAAGGATCCAGGAGCTTCCTTTGCCTCGTGGTTTCCTTGCTCTAGGAGGTTGCTTAAGGACTTGGTGACGCCGTGACAAAGCCTGTCTTGCAAAACAACTTCCTCTGCCCTTCTCTGGAAGGTCTGTTGTGCAGCTCAGTGCTCCAGAGCCTGGGGGAACGAGGGAAACCCAAAAAAAACCCCAAAAGCCCGAAATTCTGCTGTGGCACAGGATATTCTGGGGTGGAAGGGACCCTCGAGGCTCATCAAGGCCCAGCTCTGCCAGGGATGGCTCACCCAGGGATCAAACCCTTGGTGTTCACCAGCACCAGCCTCTGACCAGGCGGGTTCAGTCATTAACACGCATTAATTGCAGGTTAATTACTCACCTCAGAGGGCTCAGATTTGTGAATAATCCCTGTGGCACCCCCAGCTTTAGTCCCAGCCTAAGTGGTCTGTGCAGCTTTCAGGGACCCAGTGAAACAGGGGCTGCACAAGGGGCTGCACGAGGCACCTTTTCAGGGATTAAATGTTGGCAAAATTCTATTTCCCACCACCAGAATTCGGCTCAGTGGCAGTGTGACCTCCCACCCTGCTGCTCTGTTTATTTGGGCACAGGCCTGGTGTTTACCCACCACCCAAATTTTTTGCATTTCATGGCAATTCAGGCCCCCTTGAAACCTGCCACTCGCAGGATTGGCTGGTGTGTGGTTTACTCAGCCAAAAATTCAACTTCATGGCGCTCTTTGAAGGAAAAAAGGGCTGTCGGGGGGGCTCTTCTTTGTCTTTTTTTTTAATTCCCCCTCAGTA